GGACGTCGATGTGTTCCATTATCATTCATATCACATCATATCACATCATAATGTATCATATATTTCCTTATCTGAGTCAGCTGAGCCGTATCTGGCCGTGCAACACTCACAGTGTCACATACTGTATGCAGAAGTATTATTTTAAGCAACACATTAAGTTGACGAAACACTCGAGACAAATGTAATTAAAGTCAGATGGTGTCTTAGACGGGGCAGTGATATCATAAACCTGTTAATGTACGCATTCAAACACTTTTTCTTTTACCAGCTGTATTCACCTTGCAGGTGCAGCTATGTGGCTTTGATCCTGGATAAAGTGTTTAAGTCATGGATGTTTAAAGTTTAACTTCTTCATATGTCTAATATTATAGTTTACTTTTCATTCAGGAAGTATGACGCTGCGCTGTCAGTACGCTTCTCCATGTTTGTGATTGGTCAAATGTTACTAGCACCGCCCCTTTCATGTGAATGCGCACTCAGCCGGAAACAGAGAAACCCTGGCTTGAGTTACCGAGTTGATAACCAGCGTCGTAGGACCGCTTAGCGAGAGCGCGTTTGTTTTGGATTAGGTAAGCCGGGTAACTCAAACATATCCAGGGTATGTTGAACCGGCTTCGTAGTACAGGCCTCAGCTGAGGTGTTTCAAGCTGGCTTTACTTTAGCTAACGTTGAAATGTGGTCATTTTAAAACAGACTTGCTAAAGATTGTAAAGAGTTATACATTGAGATGACAGCGGGTTTCTCACAGTTTGTCTCCGTGTTGTTTCTCCAGTTCTCAAACAGCTCGAGGAACTGCTAAGCGACATGAAAGCCGACGTCACGCGTCTCCCGGCAACCATCGCCAGGATACCCCCTGTCGCCGTGCGGCTTCAGATGTCAGAGAGGAACATCCTCAACCGATTGGCCAGCCGCGCCCCGGAGCTCTCCGCTCAGAGCCAATCACAGACGTCGCAGCAGATGCAGGTGCAGCGCTGACCAATCACATCGCTTCTTTCACTCTCACTGACTGAGGCTAGCTGCCCTCACCTCACCACCATGTAGCAGACGCCCCCCTGCCCAAAAAAAAAATAACCTTGTACAGCACAGGTTAGTCCTCTCGCTCTTCACCCAGAAACCATCCCACGGACTCAGAGGAGCTTCAGCAGCTGGACGCAGACACGACAAGATTTCGACATTGATTTGGGGATTTTCTTACGTTGATTTCAGGAGTTTCTGTATCCTGAGCACTGTGACTGAACTGCAGCCGCACCGACCTGCCCTTTGTCTCTACTGCAGGGTCAAACGTGTGTGTATGTTTGTGTGTCTAGGGAATGTGTGTGTGTGTGTGTGAGAGAGTAACTGTTATGTAACATGAAGAAGAAGACTGGAGCAGCATGCTTGGAGTTTACTGGTGCATTCTACTTGTTTGTGCATCATACAAAATGTCAAGGGATTTTCTTGTGTTTCTTTTAGAACATTTTTGACACTTTTTTTTTTTAAGATAACTTTATTGTCATCATGTGTGTGTGTGTATGTGTGTGTGTCTATGGAGCAGGTGTGTGTGTGTATGAAACAGGGCATCTTAATGTGCACCTCTACTGCAGAAAGCACCGAATTTAAGACCACGTCACATTTCTATCAGTCAGTCAGATCAGTTTCCTCCTCCTACGTCTTGACCCACTATCCTTAATCTCCCCCACCCCCCGTCAGGTGACCCCATCCCGGCTACTAACGCCCCCAAGCAGCACCTCAACATTCCTGACTGCATCCCAGATTTACTCCCTGTAAGATTCCCGAAATACGAACATGCAATATCTCCGCAGCTTTTAGGTACATGGGATGGTTTTGAGAAACGTTTAATTTAATTTCTTACTGTATATTGTCAAGTTGTTTTACATTATCGAAATATTATTATTACTATTATTATGATGGTTACCGCCTTGTTGTTTTTTTCATTGCTGTTTGTTTTTATGAACTTCAATAAAAATTCCACAGTTTTTCAACGTTTTGTTCACTTTCTAAAAAACTTCTGAGTGTTTTTTTACTCATGTTTGCAGCATGCTCTGGGGATTTCAGGCAGACGGGACTTCACTTTGTGTCTCAGGGAAATGTCTAAATAATAATTGGACTTGGTGTCATTACATGTGGTGCAAAAAACTGGGAAAAGTCTAGACGAATTGGATTAAAAGATGAACCCTGCTTCACTAAAACTATAGTTATTTAAAACAATAATGAAAACGCATGTGTTTAGGAAGTAGTGAGGAACTGGTCAAATCAAACCAGATTATCCTGCAAACATTGTGTGAGAAGGATGTTTAATATAAGTCTTTAAACGCCTCACTTCTAGACTTGAAATGGTCCACATTTGACTATCTTTCTGTATTCTTCATACAACATGGAGGCAAACAGCCTTCTCCTTTCAAACTCACGGTAACACACGGTGAGTAACCGCCAAACAAATGATCATTTTTAATGTGTTTCCTCTTTCCATGTTTTTTCTGTTCATCATGTGAACGCTGATTCCAGTCTAGGAAAGCGCAACAGAGCGAGTGACGAGCAGAACAGATCCTGACGCGCTTTGCATGCAAACCTCGAAGGACAAGCAGGAATTTACATGGAGGCAAATGTGGATGTGCAGGAGAGCTCATAAAGGAGGAAGAGCACGACACAGGAAAGGCACATTTTCTCCAGCAGACGGTTAGGAAGTCGAGACAATTAGAGTAAATGACAGGGCGGAGGATTAACCCAGCCGGATTCTTATCATGACCGAGTTGGAGGCTAAACGGTGAACACGGAGAGCTGAACTGAGTGTAACCTGACTGTTTGTAAGGAGAGACACACACACACACACACACACACACCATCAGAGAGAAGTACACAGAGGAGAGCCTGGATCCAACCCATCACTTCCTGCTGCAGAAAACACATCCGTACTGCGAGAGCCCCTAAAATGTCTTTTAGGTGAGTGTGTTTTTCTTTACTGTAATTGCTAATCTTATCCTCTGTCTTCTATTTCCACTCTTTTCTCCATTCTTTGTTCATGTTCCGGTCCTTTTGAAGAAGATTCAACTTATTGTCGTTACGTAGTACAGGTACCAGGAGCTTCAGTAATCTCCAATTCAGAATCCCGTTCTCCTGGAATTATTTGAAGTTCATGTTTATGCTGACTCAATAGCTAGATTCCAGGAACATCTAGTGAGAACAGTTCAGGTACTAACGAAACGGTGTCTCTGCATTTGACCCATCTAGTGTTAGGAGCAGTGTGCTGCCATTGTGTACGGGAGCAGTGTAGGGAACGGTGCCTTGCTCAGGGACACCTCGGTAGCACTTGGTCTTTCCAGGACTTGAGCTGGTGACCTTCCAGTTGCCAAGCCAACTCCCTATGGGCTTCACAACAACCGCCCTGTTGACGTGTGTTCAGTGTTTCTCTCTTTGTGGTGCTCTCTGTGTGGTTTAATACATATTTTGCTGCAGATTTAAGATTTCTGAACATTTTCTATAATTAAAATAAAACCTAATGGATGAAAGCTAAAAAAACATATAATACAATCTAGGAATAAATCAAATGGATAAAATACCTAATCTCAGAAAATCTCATTTCACATCGGCTTATCTCTGTTTTGTTTAATATACTTTATTTTCTGGGGGAAAAAACAAATGGGATATTTTCTGCAACTTGCAACAGTACCCACAATATCAATAATGTAATAAACGTTATTTAGAGCCTTTCAAACGCCGTTACAAAGTGCTTTCAAATAAAATAAACAAAAGATAATGAAATCAACTAAAAGCTGGAAAACATAATCACATAATAAACCACAGAGTGAAACAAACAAAAATGAGTAACACATTTCTAAAATCACACAAATAGATTATCAAATCAAATTGTTACAAACACTGCTACAACAAGATCTAGATTTTTATTTTAAAATAAAAATGGCTTATTTAATTTCCAAGAGTCCAATCGCCATCCTCAAATTGCAAATGTTGCATTCTTTCAAATCAAAAAGCACGAAGCTCCTGACATCAGGATTAAATGAGTAACTACTTCAGACTACTTACTTTGAGGTTTAGTCGTAGGAGGGTACAGAACATCACGTACAGTCACTCCTCTGACACACACTCTGATGCATGGTGACAGTGTGTGTGTCACAACAATAAGGAGAGTGAGCACATCTAGGAAACATCACTATTTTCACTCGGAGGCTGTGAGAAGAAAAAAAAGTGTGTTTTGTTTTCTACAATGCACAAACTGTTATGAGCTAACCACGACCAACGACACCTGTGTGTGTGTGTGTGTGTGTGTGTGTGTGTGTGTGTGTGTGTGGTGTGTAGTACATTGGATGTTGTACATGTTACTTTTGCTCAAACACAGTGTAGAAATTCAACTTTTTCTTGCATATTTGCAGTAAAGCTGAACAAAAACTAGTGTGTTTTCTTGCATATTTGCACCCAGCACTAAACATGACACAGGGTAGAGTCTAATGAGTGTTGGTCTCTGGACAGAGAGGACTCTGCCCTTTTCAAAGCTGTTGTAGGTCAGCATGATTTGCAAGTTAAATGTCTCTGTTTGTTCCACACCGTGCAAAATGTTACTTCATGTGTTTGTGACATTAAACAAAACGCCCTAACAGTGCACTGGTTTTGTGTTGCATTATGGGGAAACTGCTGTCTCTCACAAGCCTCTGCATGCCATTTAAATATATCAGTGTAGACACCAAATAAAACACTTTTTGATTTAGAGTATCCTCTTCAAACCACTGGTTTTAATTTTGCAGTTTCAGTCGTTTAATAATGAGACAGTTGCAAATAGTCTACCAGTTACACAAACATATATATATATATATATATATATATAAAGAGGGGGGAAGGTTAAACTGCAAATAAGGAAGTGTTCTCTGACTGTGACCTTTGTGTTACGCTCTCACACACACACACACACACACACACACACACACACACACACACACACACACACACACACACACACACACACACACACACACACCTGGAAGTAAAGAACAAAAAGGCAACAGTGGTAGCAGAAAGACAGGCAGGTGGGCAGGCGCAGAGGAACAGCTTTTCTAATGTCTGGCTGAGAGACTAACGGAGGCAAGAGAAACTCAAATTGGAAATTTTGTGGATTATTCCTGCAACAAAAGGAATGACTGGACTCTGGGTCATGATTCACCGCTGAATGGAGAAGTTTCAACCTTCGTTTTAGGGTTTTTATTAAGGAAACGACACCATTTGATCTCACTTTGCTCTTAAATATGACTTTTTATTTTGATCGTCTTTAAAAAAAAAAAAACAGAAAGAGAAACACATCTGTATCTGTTGGTGGGATTCCAGCCTGTCAGCTATTTTGGTTCCTGTCTTGCTTTCACTGTTTTGTGAAAGGAGATGTAAGAAGGAAGAGAGAGAGAGAGAGAGAGAGAGATAGAGAGAGAGAGAAGCGACACAGAAAGAGGACGGTCAGAGAGACGTCTAAACAGCGGGCGTCTCCGAGAGAGTCAGAAGGGTTCAGAGGACGCTGAGAAGAGTAAGTGTTTCACCTGCTTTCCTATCGGGACGCAGGGTTGGGTGGAGGGACGCGAGGAGAAGGAGAAGGCGGGTTGTTGGAGGGATGTTTTGTAGTTGAGTGATACAAAGAGATAGTTGTTTCTATGCATGAGAATAAAGTGTGAAGTGAGGAAGTATTGAGGAACCGGGTGTTTCTTTTTTGTTAAATTCAAGATATACTGTGCACATGTGCAGGTACACGTGACTCTCTCCCTGGTCCCAGAAGAAGAGAAAAGGCATCATGGTTCGGTGAGTCTACCCCCCCCCTCCCGCCGCTCCGCCAGACGATGAAATGCTCGTTTCAGTCGGTTGTGTTTTGTGCAAGGCGTGATGACAACTTCTCTGTTTCCATTCCTCCTTCTCTGCTGTCCTGCTCTGTTCCTCTATCATGTGATTTCTGTGTCTGTTTGCGTCAAGAAAAATGTGTCATAAAGGGTGATTTAGCTCCGAGGTTGAGTAAGAAACACTTGTTGTTGTACCCTTGACATGCAATGTTCCCTTTACTTTGAGTTTTCCTTCTGTGACTGTGTCAAGATCTTATTTCTTAACACATTTGTCGTATAAAATGATTTTTTTTCAGAGGGGAAAACATATATTTGAGTGCAAACACAATCTAACTATTCATTACAACAGTTACAATTTGTATTCTCTAGCATTTAAAGCTTTAAATTGTCCATTTTTACTCTGCAACTGCGAAGACATTATTCAGTAAACAATGTGTAAGCAGCATGCTAGGTTGCAGGAGAGCTACCATAACGACAAATACCCTAAGTCTGTTAAACATTTGGATATTCTTCTTTTCAAGGCGTTACTTTAAAAAAAAACGTGTGTAGTCTAAGTTTGACCAACACAGACTTTTTCCAACCGCAAAGGGCTCCAGGAAATGATAACAGATATTTCAACTGAACTAACGAAATCCTGTCACACTGAGAAACTTACATTTTGTTGAAAGGGGCGTTTGGTTAAAGTAGTGTCAATTTAAAACAAGCTTGGTGGTATTTTAGTCGGAATAACGGTCTTTTATTGCACCAGCTGTAGAGATAATGTGTTAATACATCGGTCAAATAAAATGTTTGTGATCAAAGGTGAATTAAATCGGGCGTAGAAGAAAACAAAGCATTTTAAGTTTGGTTTTTGTAATGAATAATACAGACCGTAAAATCAGAAACTGGGCTTTAAATGATTAGTTTAAATATCAGTTACGCTACCAATTAAACAACCTATCATTTCATTAAGAAAAAGACCACAACGAATGACAGATGCTTGCAAAAAGTTACCACACACTTTCAAACTTAAGTGAAACATGGAAAGATGAAGCGACATTTTCACATTTACGAGACCTTAATAAAGAAAATAACACGGGGTGTACGTGGATGTTACCGCGTGTAAATGCCTCTTTGTTGTATATCTGTGTACTGGTTGCAATATTTATATTCGTGTGTGTGTGTGCGTGTGTGTGTGTGTGTGTGTAGGTGGTTCCACAGAGACATCACAGGCCTGCAGGCCGAGGAGATGCTGAAGACTCGGGGGATTCACGGCAGCTTTCTGGCTCGACCCAGCAAGAAAATTGCCGGAGATTTCTCCCTTTCTGTCAGGTAATGAAGCTGAAGCACCACAAATATCTCTTTTATCCAGAGGTGGGAATAAGTGGAGTACAAATACTTCATTACTGTACTTAAGTACTTTTTACTTTCTACTTCTTACATATTAAACTCAAATACCTTTACTTTCTACTTCTTACATTTTGAACTCAAATACCTGTACTTTCTACTTCTTACATGTTGAACCCAAATACCTGTACTTTCTACTTCTTACATGTTGAACACAAATACCTGTACTTTCTACTTCTTACATGTTGAACTCAAATACCTGTACTTTCTACTTCTTACATTTCGAACACAAATACCTGTACTTTCTACTTCTTACATGTTGAACTCAAATACCTGTACTTTCTACTTCTTACATGTTGAACCCAAATACCTGTACTTTCTACTTCTTACATGTTGAACTCAAATACCTGTACTTTCTACTTCTTACATGTTGAACCCAAATACCTGTACTTTCTACTTCTTACATGTTGAACTCAAATACCTGTACTTTCTACTTCTCTCATTTTCCAAACAGGCTGGTTCCTTTAGTCTGAATGTGTGTTTGGTGGCGTGATCATTATTATTTAGAGTCATTGCGTGCCTATTGATTTGAACACGATCCGTGTATCCATCATTTCCTGGTCTTCTCTAAAGAAGAGGGACCAATGAAAACGTTGTCATGTTGCC